ACACGTGTCACCAAAAACAAGGATTTCGGCTCTGGCCTGTAGGGCCTTCGACCCCAACCGCTGGGCCTGGGTCAGCTGGAGCCCGGAGGATGGCAAAATCTCTGGGGCCGGCCTCTTCGGGCAGTCAGTCGGTCGAGGAACCCGTTCGGGCTACTTCGGAGCACCCGTGGGAAAAATGCCCCCTTGCCCGCTCTTGGGGTGTTTGCTATGCTTGATTATGGCACTACGGTTCGTGATGGCACTGAAGAGCGGGCCTCCTGGATATCCATCCTGGAGGCCTAGGCGCTTCTTGTCAGGAACATATCCTCCGCAGTCGTTGCAAAAGAAAAGGATGGTGCTCGACTTGGCGGCCGTACTTTCATTTTCAGTGGCGAAGCACGGCGCCGCGAGCACAGCGTGCCCGCGCACCCGCCACGGCCTGAGGGCGCCGTCAATCTCGGCTGCATGCGGCTCCCGCCTGTGCAGTAGGAGCTGGCCGCAGCAGCGCCGTCTCCTCCGTCCGACTCGCCAGCGGGCCTCTCGCCCGAGTCGATCAGCCTGAGCGCGCCCACCCCCGTGGAGTCCCCGAGCCCAGCCTGGGCCAGGGAGGCGGAGGAGGAGGAGGAGGACGAGGAGGAGGAGGACGAGGAGGAGGAGGAAGAGGAGTAGGAGGAGGAGGGAGGAGGACGTGAGCCTCCAGCGAGGCTGCGCACTGCGCCGCCTGGCGAGCGATCGCCTGGCGGCCCCCGAGCATCTCCATGTCGGCCAGGGGCGCTCGGGCGGCGGGCGGCCCTCGCGCCCTCCCTCCATGGCGCGCCTGCCCGCACGAGCGCTGCCGTCCAGCTCGAGCTGCGTGATCAGGCCGTCCAGTTCGAGCTGCGTGATCAGGCCGTCCAGCTCGAACTGCGTGATCAGGCCGTCCAGCTCGAGCTGCGTGATCAGGCCATTGCGCACAGCCGCCTGGCCCAGGCCTTCACCTTGACCACCGCGGCCTCCTGGAGCTGCTCTGGCCTCCCAGCCCAGACGTGAGCCCGCCGATGCCTGGAGGAGGCCGCGGCCTCGGGGCAGGCCGCGCAGCGCACGGTGGAGAGGCAGTCGATGCACAGGCGGAAGGCGCCTCCAGCCACGGTGTCCGTGAGCCATTTTCACCGCGCAGTCCACGCGGAGGAGGAGCAGGAGGAGGAGGAGGAGGAGGAGGAGGAGGAGAGGAGGAGGAGGAGGAGGAGGAGGAAGAGGAGGAGGATGGAAGGAGGAGGAGAGGAGGAAGGAGGAGGAGGAGCAGGAGGAGGAAGAGGAGGGAGGGAGGAGCCTGGAGGAGGGAGGGAGGAGGAGGGAGGAGCCTGGAGGAGGAAGGAGAGGAGGAGGAGGAGGAGGAGGAGGAGGAGGAGGAGGGAGGCGGAGGAGAAAGAAGAAGGAGGAGGAAGGAGGAGGAGGAGGAAGGAGGAGGAGAGGAGGAGGAGGAGGAGGGAGGAGGAGGAGGAGGAGGAGTAGGGGCAGAGGAGGAGGAGCAGGAACATGAGGAGGAGGAGGAGGAGGAGGAGGAGGAGGAGGAGGAGGAGGAGGAGGAGGAGGAGGAGGAGGGGAGGAGGATGAGGAGGGGAGATATGAGGAGAGTGAGGATGTGAGAGGAGGAGGCAGGGTAAGGAAAAAAGGAGCAGGAAGGGAGCAGCAGCAGCCCAGGCTGAGCTGTTTTATACATGAACCTCCCCGCGTTGCGTGTACGCCCAGGCCTCGGAAAGGCAGGTTAGCTTGATGTAGGGGACAATTGGGACAAGCGGTGGCGACGCGAACGCGGACGGCGGACGGCAGCCAGAGGGAGGAGGAGGACGAATGAGGAGTAGGACGAGGAGGGGGGGGGGAGGAGGAAGAAGGAGGAGAAGGGAGGGAAGGAGGAGGAGGAGGAGGAGAAGGGGGAGGAAGGAGGGTGTGAGGAGGAGGAGGAGGAGGAGGAGTGAGGAGGAGGAGTGAGGAGGAGGAGGAGAGGAGGAGCAGGAGGAAAAGGGAGGAGGGAGGAGGAGGAGGAGGAGGAGGAGGAGGAGGAGGAGGAGGAGGAGGAGGAGGAGGAGGAGGAGGGAGGAGGAGGAGGAGGAGGAGGAGGAGGAGGACCAGAGTGAACTGAAGATTAGCAGTGCTCGCAAGGAACATCCCCTCCCGTCCCATGTTCCCTCCTCATAAGTACTTACACGTGATCCCTGGCAGAATTTGGGTATAGCCCTTTGCGTGCGCGCGATCGCTTGTTGAATGAGACCCCTGGCTGTCGCCGATCAGCCAGGGAGCTACGGCGCCGCCCGCGGCGTTCTGGAGCGGCGGACCGGCCGACGCCCGCGAGCGGCGCGCCGACGCCCGGGAGGCCGCCCCCTGGTCGGAGCGGGCATCCAATGGAGCGACACTTGCAATAGCCTGGGCGGGGGGTTCGAAATGTCCCTTCGTGTCCCCTCCTCTTGGGCCCCATCTTGGACCCCTCTGGGGGCCCTCTTCGGTGGGGTGCCCTTGGGCCGTGTTTCGGACCCAGGGCGGTCTTGGAGCCCTTGCGCGTGAGGAGACATGTCGAGTGCTGGCCGCATGGTATCATTTGACAGTGAGTCGCGAAACAAGCTCAGGGGCGATCTTAAAATGAGCGCGGCGCTAACGTAAGAACCCCTTTTTGAAAAGGAACTGGCCTCGATCCATGGAATTGCTGGGCAGTTCGAAGACGAATGTGCGCGGCGCTCAGGCGAGAGCCACATTTTGGAAAGGTACGAGCCTCGATCCGTGTAACTGTTGGAAATTTAAAAGACGAATGTGCGCGGCGCTCAGGCGAGAGCCACAGTTTGAAAGGGAACCGGCCTCGATCCGTGTAACTGTTGCAACGTCGAAGACGAATGTGCGCGGCGCTAATGCGAGAGCCACATTTTGGAAAGGAACCGGCTTCGATCCTTCTAACTGTTGGATATTTCGAAGACGAAGGTGCGTGGCGCTAAGGCGAGAGCCACATTTTGAAAAGGAACCGGCCTCGATCCTTGTAACTGTTGGATATTTCGAAGACGAAGGTGCGCGGCGCTAAAGCGAGAGCCACATTTTGAAAACCACCCGCCCTCCATCCGTGTAACTGTTGGAAGTTTCGAAGACGAATGTGCGCAGCGCTAAGGCGAGAGCCACATTTTGAAAACCACCCGCCCTCCATCCTTGTAACTGTTGGAAATTTCGAAGACGAATGTGCGCGGCGCTAAGGCGAGAGCCACATTTTGAAAACCACCCGCCCTCCATCCTTGTAACTGTTGCAAATTTGAAGCTTGGCGGTCCTAAATTGCAAGGAAGTCTCAAGCGAAACGCCGGGCCCGGCCTACAGACACGCTTGGGACTGAGGCAGGGAGGAGTTATTCATAAGGAGAAGGGATGGAGGAGGAGGAGGAGGAGGAGGAGGAGGAGGAGGAGGAGGAGGAGGAGGAGGGAGGAGGAGGAGGAGGAGGAGGAGGAGGAGGAGGAGGAGGAGGAGGAGGAGGGAGGAGAGAGGAGAAGGAGGAGGAGGAGCAACTGGCCCTCTAGGAAAGGTGCCCAAAGCCTCGGGCGGTCCACGGATCGACACAACAAATGGAGCGCCGCACGCCTGGGTCTCAAGCGAAGACCTAGGTAAGAGAGGCACTTGACGCGCGACTTGCCGATCGCAGGAGCGGTCTGCGTGCCTGGGCGTGCCCCAGCTCTCAAAGGCCACGCACCTCAGGGCACTCTGGCGAGAAGCCCCTCCTGCAGTGGAGGCCCGACCACAGGTAGCCCAACCCTAAGACCCCAGGACGTCTGTTGATTTCGGGTGTGGGAACGTCACGCGTTCCAGCGCAAAATCATTGCGAAACCATCGAATCCCAAGAAACCCAGGGCACCCTAGAGGCAAGCAAGGTGTTTCTTGGCATGGGCCCCCGCTGTACGTGCACCCATCTGTCCGAAGAACTGGGTAGAAACATGAAGTAGGACGGAATTGTAAGTAGTTTGGATCGCAGCCCGCCCACTGAAGAGGAGGGAAGAGGGAAAACCGCTCGGCTCCAAAGTGGGACACGGCGCCCCAAATACACAACATGTTGGGCTCTGGGGATCCACAGATACGTACTTTTAGGTCGGGCGTCCCCCTACAGGCGGATTGTGGACGAACAATAAAACATAGGCAAAAAGCTAAGACAACAAACGCTCAAACATACGTTTCAAAAAATCGTCCCCAGACTGTTTTTTGTGGCTATGTCGGAATCTTCCTCCTGTAGAGGAACAGGCCCGACTTACACCTGCTTTCAACGACCGATGGGCAGCAGAGCCTGAAGGCTCAGGTCCCCGGAGCGCCCCGGATGCCAAACGTCCCCCCAAAGCGTCCACAGGAAGAGGGCCGATTGAGACGGCGGCGGCTCCCGCCAGGCCCGGACCCGTTCAAAAACGGTCCCAGGAGCCCTCCCGGGGTCCCTCCTGGACCGTGTTTTTCGGGGGCGGCCAAGAGGGGGGGCCTGGGGCGTCCAGAGGGGGGGGCGCCAACTCGCAACAAATCATGTGCCGGCCGGCATGTGCGCGGCCCCAGGGGGAGGGCCAGGGGGACGGGGGGGGGGCCCGCGCGTAATGAGATATAAGAAGGGGCCGCCAGGAAGTCAGTAGGAACGCGGGGGGTCATCACTCCTCCTCCTCCTCCTCCTCCTCCTCCTCCTCCTCCTCCTCCTCCTCCTCCTCCTCCTCCTCCTCCTCCTCCTCCTCCTCCTCCCCCTCCTTGCCGCCCCCGGACCCCAGCTGGGGTCCCTCCCAGGACCGTGCTTCCGAGGCGGACCCGGCCGCGGCGACGACCGAGACTCCGGGAGGCCCTCCCGCGAGGGTCAACCAAAAGACGTGGTAGAGAGAGGGCCACCGCGGTCTCTCGACTGGCTCTCCGCCGGAACATCCAATCACGACCCTCGATGAACGACGACGACGACGACGACGATAACGATGACGATGCTGTCCTCCTCGTCGTCGTCGTCGTCGTCGTCGTCGTCGTCGTCGTCGTCGTCGTCGTCGTCGTCGTCGTCGACGGTCACCTGTGCCTTCTCCTGGCCCCACGCGATCACGCTCGCCGCCATGCCCGCCGGGCTGCTGCGGTGCAGCTCGTTGTGTGCCGCCAGCAGCAGCGTCTGGGACAGCAGCCACAGGACGACGCCGCCGGAGACCCCGAGGCGCCAGTCGTCGCCCCACCTCCCGATATCCGGGATCGAAGCTTTCGGGCGAGGTTCGGGGATCGAGATTCGAGGATCGAGGTTCGAGGATCGAGGTTCGAGCATCGAGGTTCGAGGATCGAAGCTCCAGGCTCGAGGATCGCGGATCGAGAGTCGAGATTCGAGGATCAAAGCATCGTGGATCGAGACTCTACGCTCGAGGCTCGGGAAGCGAGGATCGGCGTGCGAGAGGTTCGAGATGGAGGACGTCGCCGTTGAAGACGTCAGGGAGGTTCGGGAACCTTCGGAGGCTTCTGGCGTTTTTCGGAGGCCTTCGGGTGGCTTTCGGAGATCTTCGAACGATTTCGATCGGTGGCAGCCTTCGGAGGTCTACCGCTCGCTACCAGCCGAAGTCTTGCACGGCCAGCGCAGACGGTCGCTGATGATCTCCATGTGTGCCAGCACGTGACGGACTAGTCACCACTGGCAAACCCACCCTCGCGCTGCTCCACCACTGGCCGAGCGATACTGTTCCTCTACCTCCCCTTCACCATCCTCTCCGAGGTTGCTAGCCTGCGAGGGGGAGGAGAGGGGCGGAGCGGGAGGCGGACAGGGAGGGGGGAGGAGGAGGAGGAGGATGTTCTGTCCACTGACCATCGCCCTTCAGCAAGCGCAGGGAACAGAAAGGGGGGTGACAGACTGCAGTGTGCCCGCCACGCGACGAGGCCGAGCCCTCTGCGGCAGACAGCGGGCCAGAGCGGGCGTCAGTGCGAGGGGTGGCGGAGACGCTGACACGCCCCGCAGCGCAGCGGCGGCCCGGCCCGCGGCGCAGGGCAAGGCGTGCCGTCGCGTGCGCACGAGCCGCGCGGGCGGCCCGGCCGCCGCTCCCCGCCCTCGCGCGGACCTCCGCTCCCCTGACCAGGTGTCAAACAAGTGCGGTGCGTGTGGTTCCCATCTCTCCTCCGATCCAGGATGCCCACGAGGTCCTCACACCCGACGCACGCACGCACAACAAACAGGGTGACAAACAGACACAACACAGGGACAACACAGACACAACAGACAGACAGACAGACAGACAGACAGACAGACAGACAGGACAGACAGACAGACAGCAAGACAGACAGACCAGAGACACACCCCACACACACACTACACCAAACACACACAACACGCGCGCGCGCACCCACACCCACACCACACACACGCACACACACACACACACACGGTACATGTATGCGTCTTCATGCACACCGGTACACGCACGCACGCACGCCACGCACGCACGCACGCCAACGCACGCACGCACGCGCGCACACACCACACACACGCCAAACACACACCCACACGCAAACACACACACACAGACCACACACAAACACCACACGCAAACACACACACACACACGCCAACACACACACACAGTTCACCCCACGCAAACACAGAACACACACACGCACACACCCACACGCACACACGCACACGCACACGCGCACGCACACACAAAGACCACACACAACACACACACGCACGCACGCACGCACGCACGCACGCACGCACGCACGCACGTACGCGCACGCGCACGCGCACGCGCACGCGCACACGCGCACGTGCGCACGCTCGCACGCGCACGCGCACGCGCGCGCACACGTAGACGCACACGCTCACGCGCGCGCACACGTAGACGCACACGCTCACGCGCACGCGCACGCGCAGGCCCACGCCCATGCCCACACGCACACGCACACGCACACGCACACACGCACGCGCACGCACACACACACAAACACACGAACCACACCCACGACACCACAACCCACAAACCACACCCACACCCACCCCACACCGCACACGCACGCGCACGCACGCACGCACGCACGCACGCGTCACACACACACAAACAAACACACAAAAACACACACGCGAACACACACACCAACACACACATCACACACACGCAACGCAAGCACCCACCCACACACACACACACACGCAAAACACACGCGAACACACACACACACTCAACACACACACACACACACGACACGCACAAGCACACACCCACACACGCACACGAACGCACGCACGCGCACGCGCACGCGCACTCGCGCACGCGCACGCGCACGCGCACGCCCACACGCACACGCACACGCACACGCACGCGCACGCGCACGCGCACGCACACGCACACGCACACGCACACGCACACACCCACACCCACCCGCACCCGCACCCACACCCACACCCACGCACACACACACACACACACAAACACAAACACACCCACACCGACACCCACACCCACACCCACACACACGCACACACCCACGCACCCACACCCACACCCACACCCACGCACACCCACACCCACACCACACACACAAACACAAACACACGCACACACACACACACACACACACACACACACACACACACACACACACACACACACACACACACACACACACACACACACACACACGCGCGTCCGAGCGATGCCAAGGCTCTGGGGGCTCTCCCTGGGGGCGCTGCCAGGGCACGATCGAGTCCGCATCGGCTGCCCGTGCGACCTCACTGGGAGCGCGCCCAGGAGGGAATGAGAAGGGGCGGGCCTTCTCAGAAGGCTCAGAACTCCCCAGGCCTTCTGAGAAGTGTTCTCAGCTTTCCTCGAAGACACAGCATACGTCTCAAAGGCGCGAGGGCTTCTGAGAAGTCGCGCCGCCTTCTGAGAAGGCTTTCTCCTGCTCCCTTCCCCCCCCTCAAGCGCCGCCGACCCTTTCCTAGGATCCTCCTCCTCCTCCTTCCTCCTCCTCCACCTCCTCCTCCTCCTCCTCGACTCCTCCTCCTCCTCCTCCTCCTCCTCCTTCCTCCTCCTCCACCTCCTCCTCCGCTTCTACTCCTCCTCCTCTCCTCCTCCTCTCCCCCTCCTCCTCCTCCTCCTCCTCCTGATGTCATCTCTCCTCCTCCTCTCCTCCTCTCTCCTCCTCCTCCTCCTCCAGCTCCTCCTCCTCCCTCCTCCTCCTCCTCCTCCTCCTCCTCCTCCTCCTCCTGCATGTCATGCTCCGCGTCGTCCTCGACATCCTCCTCCTCGGCCTCCCCCCCTGGGCCCTGGGCCTGTCCTTCCCTGTCGTCGCCCCCGACAGGAAGAGGTCAGCGTCGGATCGGCAGGTCGAATCAGATTGGAGCGCTGCGTCGAATCGGGCCGCATCGGCGCGGGGTCGGGCTGGAATCGGATCGGCCGTGTCAGGATGCGCAGCAGCGCCATGCCAGGTACCTGGCCACATCGGATCGCCCGAAGACCGAAACTGAATCGGATCGAGCTGTGCAGCATCGGCACCGAATCGGAACTAGCTCGGCCCTGCGACTGCGGCGTCTCTCCCTGGGACGCCGCGGGGCCTCGCGCGAGAGCGACCTGCCGGCCTCCCCCTCCTGCCCTCCTCCCGACCTGCGGGGGAGGAGGAGAAGGAGGAGGAGGAGGAGGAAGAAGGAGGAGGAGAAGGAAGAGGAGGAGGAGGAAGAAGGAGGAGGAGGAGATGGAGAGGGAGGAGGAGGAGGAGGAGGAGGAGGAGGAGGAGAGGAGAGGAGGAGGAGGAGGAGGAGGAGGAGGATAAGGACACCTCCAGAAGCCGTTGTCGCACGTGGCGAGGGGGAGTGGGAGGAGCGAGGGCCCCGAGGATGAAGGGACCCCCCAAAGTCACGGTTGTACGTCCCCGGAGGCCATGGAGGTCCCTGGAGGCTCCACAGAGGACCCGAAACAAAGAAACACGTTCCCTTATCGTCGATCATCGCCGACCCTGGGCTTATAATCGCCCTCAACGACGGCGGCGACCTCCAGAAGCCGCTGTGGGTGACGAGGGGGAGCAGGGGCGAGGGAGGACGAGCGAAGGAGGAGGAACGAGGAGCGAGGAGGAACACGTCATCGTCATCCGTCCTCCTCCTCCTCCTCCGCCTCCTCCTCCTCCTCCTCCGCCTCCTCCTCCTCCTCCTTCACTGTCGTCGTCGACGACGACGGCCTCCAGAAGCTGTCGTTGTACGTGACGAGGTTCACTCCGACGTGCCAGCCCGCCGCGGCGAACACCGCCGCGAACATGAACGCACCCTGGCTCCTCGTCGCGCCGCGGCGCCCGCCCCGCCGTGCCGCCGCCCTCGCCGCCGCCGCCGCCGTTCCCGCGGCCGCCGCCGCCGCCTTCGTCGCCGCCGCCGCCGTCGTTCGACCAGGGGGGGGGGGGAGGAGAGAGGGAGGGCAGGAGGGGAGAAGGGGGAGGATGGGGAAGCGGGGGGAGGAGTAAGAAGAAGGATGACGACGACGACGACGAACATCCTCGTCACCCACCCTCCTCCTGCTCATATCCCATCCCTCTCATACTCGCGGTTCCCCTTCTTCCTGCTCCGATTCCTCCCCTCTCATACTAGTTCTCCCCCCCTCCACGCCCCTCCTCTTCCTCAAACTCCTCCTAGCTCCCTCCCTCGCTCCTCGCTGTTCCTCTTCTTCTTCCGCATCATCGTCGTCGCGGTGGTCATCGTCGCCGTCATGGTCGTCGCCGTCGCCGTCACCATTGCCTTCGTTGTGGTTGTGGTCGTCGTCGCGGTCGTGGTCGTGGTCGTGGCCGCCTTCGTCGTTGCAATCGTCGTCGTGAGCGTGGTCGTGGTGATCGTTGTCGTGCGGTGATCATGCCCGTGGCCATGGTCGTGGTCATGGTCGCCCTCATCACCTCATCGCGGTACTGGTCGGGGCCGTCGTCGCCTCGGCCGCTCCTGCGCATGGCCTCGTCGTCTTTCGGCACGACCAAGCGCTTGCACTGCAACATCTTCGCCAGGTCGGTCCGCGCCTCCGGGCTGCCTCTTCTTCCTCTTCTTTCCTCCACCATCCGCCTTTTCTCCATCCTTGTTCTCCTTCTCCTCCTCCTCCTCCTCCTCCTCCCCCTCCCTCCTCCTCTCGCTCGTCCTGTCTTCTTGCGTTGGACAAGCGCTGGCTGGCGCGAGCCGTCGTGCCTTGATTGTCCTCCTCTTCTTCTCTTCCCGCCCTCCTCGTCCTACCCATGCCTCCTCCTCCTTCTCTTGCTCCTCCATTATCCCGCCTTTTCCCCCATCCTGCTTCCTGCATCCACTCCCTCCCGCTCTCCCTCCCGCTCTACCTCCATCCCTCCCTCCCTCCCTCTCTCCCCTCTGGGCCTCTGGACCACGGTGCGGTCACACGCCCAGGCCAGGATCCCGACCTCCTCCTCCTCCCCCTCCTCCTCCGCCTCCTCCTCCTCCACAGGTGATCAGTATGCGTACTGCCCTCCTCTCTCTCTCTCTCGCTGTCCCTTCCTCCTCCTCCTCCTCCTCCTCCTCCTCCTCATCTTCTCCTCATCCTCCTCCTCCTCCTCCAGTTGATCCGTATGCGCACTACCCTTCTCGCTCCCGCTCTCGCTCTCTCTCTCTCTCTCTCTTTCGCTCTCGCTCTCTCTCTCTCTCTCTCGGTCGCTCCCGCTCTCGCTCTCGCGCTCTCTCTCTCTCTCTCTCTCGATCGCTCGTTCTGCAGGTGCTGTGAGGCTGGGGCGCCGCCCCTGCCGCAGGCTGGTTGTGCCACGCCTCGAGACTCCAATGGTGGCGCCTCACTGTTGTGTGTTATCTTGATGGTGCTCGCGCTGCAACACTGGGATTTGCCCCTGCCGTTCAGAACGGCACTGTCGCCCCTGCTGGATACGATTCCTCGTTCGTCGTTGTCGCCCCCCTCCTCCCTCCTCCCCCGCATTTCCCTGGTCCTAATGCACCTCCCGCTCATGCTCATCATCAGCATCAGCATCATCATCGCCATCTTGATCATCAGCATCGTCATCAGCACCATCATCATCAGCACCGTCATCATCATCATCATCGTCATCATCATCATCATCATCATCATCATCATCATCATCATCATCATCGTCATCATCATCATCATCATCATCATCATCATCATCATCATCATCATCATCATCATCATCAATATCAGCATCATCATCACCACCATCATTATCATCATCATGATCATCATGACTATCAGCACCATCCTCATCAGCAGCATCATCGTCACCACCACCATCATCATCACCATCATCACCATCATCAGCAGCATCATCAGCACCACCACCACCAACACCATCACCACCACCTCCATCACCACCACCACCATCACAACCACCACCATAACCACCACCACCATCATCATGAGTACCAGCATCGTTGCCATCATCATAATCATAGGCATAGACAACCATAATCAGAATCATAACCGCATTCAGTATCCAGCATCATCATCACCATCATCGTCAACATCACCACCATCATCATCATCATCATCATCATCATCATCATCATCAGCACCATCATCTCCACGTGTACCACCATCAGCAACATGAGCATCGTCATCATCATCATCATCATCGTCATCATCATCATCATCATCACCATCCTCATCATCATCGCCACAACCATCATCATCATCATCATCACCATCATCATCATCAGCATCATCATCATCATCGTCATCATCATCAGCATCATCATCATCATAATCATCACCATCATCATCGGATCATCAGCACCATCATCATCAGCATCATCATAATCATAATCATCGTGAGCATCCTCAGCATCACCAGTATAAGTATCAGCATCATCATCACCACCAGTATCAGCATCATGAGCATCATAATCATACTCATCATCAAACTCATCATGATAATGATCATTCCCATCATAGTCATCGTCACCATCGTCATCATCCATATCACCATCATCATATTCGTAAGCATCCGTATCATCATCCTCAGCATCAGCAGCATCAGCATCATCATCACTAACATCAGCATCAGCATCAGCATCAGCATCCTCATCAGCATCATCACCATCACCATCACAATCACCATCATCATCATTATCATCAGCCGCATCATCATCAGTATCATCATCAACATCATCTGTATCATGATGTTCATCCCTCGAAAGTGCGGCCTCCGTTGCACCCTCGAAGAAGATCCGCCGAGCATGCTGGGCTGGCACGGTGGCGGGACTTGCCGCATGCAGCTGGATAGAAGACACATCATATCAAAAGAACTGGATGGGTGGGAGGGCCAAGATGTGATATATATATATATAGTGCCCACGAACCGAGCTGGTCCTCCTCCTCCTTCACTTCTCCGTCCTCCCCGTCCTTCCATCTTATCCTCCTCGTCCTCCTCCTCTTCCCCCCCTCCCCAGCGATCACGTCGCCGACGTCGACAACGACGGTAACGACGACGACGACGACCAAAATCCACTACTACTAGTAAGGGTAATCACGAACCCATGGACGGACCCCTCCAAGGGTCCATCCTGGCTACAGCCTTGACGACCAACACTTCCAGAAGCGCCCCAAAACCATCCCGACGCGGCGACGACGACGATCGACGATCAACGACGACGACGACCACCGGCGTCGTCGAGAGGTCCCCGGAAGCGTCAAGATCCCAAGATATGAACCCAAAAACTTACGAGGCCTGGGGTTTGGACGCCCGAAGTGGGTACAGAAAAATTGTACTATGCCCAGCAGCACATGTTGTCACAAATCAACAGCGGCCGCTGTTGGGCATGCAACCTTCTGACTCAAATGGACACAGTCCCCATCGACGCCGACAGTGAACCCTGTTCAAAATAAACAGGCGCTGCTGTCGGTCTTTGTAATATTCTTTCCGTACCCATTTTGCTCGTCCCGACTGGAGATGACGCCGATGCCCTAAATCCGCCGATCCGGCGTGTGAGTTTCAAGGAGTCTCAGCTACAGCCTCGAGGCTGAGCCTCAGCCTCTGGGGGGGTTGCCGGGGTGGCTCTGCCGGGGAAGGGGGGGTGGGGGGGGGGGGGTGCGAGTTTCCGGCGGATGCGTTTTTTGACACCCCTCACAAGGATCGTGGCCTCCGAGGGGGTTCCGAACTCGAGTACCACCCCTCCCGCACCAAGAGGCTCCGAGGAGGCCTCCAAGAGGCCCCAAGGGGCGCAGAAGAGGCCCCCAAGAAGCCCCAAGAGGCTCCCAAGAGACCCCCAAGAGGCCCTCTAGTGGCCCCAAGAGGCCCAAGAGGCCCCCAAGAAGCCCCAAGAGGCGCCCAAGAGGCCCCCAGAAGTCCCAGCCAACCACGAGATCCCAACCAGCATCCATGAGGCCTCTGACCCACCACCCACGCACGGTGGCGGGATAGGCCGACGGCCACTGGATCCGCCGCCCCCTGCTTGCAGGGGTGCACGGCGTGCTGGACGTTTCAAGTTTTGGTTTTGGTTCTTTTTCTAAAAGAACTCCCCAGTGGGCTTCGGCCCGTCCCGCCGGCCACCCTTCCAGGACCTCAATTCCCCAATTTCCTGCCCAAAAACGGCCGTTTCGCTCGGGACATCCTCAAAAAATCGCGAAGATGGCCCAAGATGGCCTCCAAGTCCGCCCGAGATGGTCCAAGACGGCCTCCAAAACGGCCCAAGAGAGTCCAAGACGGCCCAAGACGGCCCAAGAGGCCCCCCAGAGGCCTCCCAGACGGCCCAAGAGGCCTCCAAGAGGTCCTCCAGGAGAGTCCGAAGAGGCCAAAATCATTGATTTTCCCTTGGTTTTTGAAGGATTTTGGCATTTGCGCCTTTTCGGCTCTCCGACGGCTCAAGACGGCCCAAGAAGCCCCCAAGATCGCCCAAGAGGCCCCCAAGAGAGCCCCATGATGGCCCAAGTGGCCTCCAAGATGGCCCCTAGAGGGCCCCAAGAGGGCCCAAGAGGCCTCCAACACGCCCAAGATGGCCTCCCAGACGCCCAAGATGGCCTCCAAGACGGCCCTGGAGCATTCCAAGCGGGCCCCAAGTCGGCCCATAGAGGCCCCCCAAACGGCTTCCGACGGCTTCAGACGTGCCAGGAACCCACCAAGATGGCCGAAGTTGGCTCGAAGCTGGCCCGAGACGGCCCAAAAAGCCCCAAAGATCGCCCAAAGCTTGCCCAAGAGGCCTCCAAGACGGCCAAGATGACCTTCAAGATGCCCACGTGTTCCCCGAAGGCTTTCCAAACCGATTCGGGGAACACGTGGTCCGATACCTTGGCAGGTCTGGCCTCAACGTTCGGCCACATAGGCGCTTCCACAAAGGCAGGGGGCGGCGGTGATTCGCCGTAGGCG